CAGTAGATATTAACTGTGTCCCTGCTATGTACCAAGTATTGTTCTAAAGCATTGAAAACAGAGTGGTGAATATGGCCAAGTCTTCATGGAGCTTGTGTTTTGGAAATGGATACCACCCAGTGATGGGATTCAGTTTGCTGTGTCATTTGCCTCCCTCCTGCCACTCTTCACACATTTCCAGCATTTGAACCATACTGAACTAAGCAGTTCTCTGAAAAACATCATGCTCTTCTATAGCTCCTTTTCTCCATTCCTGCTGTTCCCTTGTTTGTTTACAATCAGGCAAATTCTTGCACTTCATTCAAGACTTAGCTCAAAAGCTGTTTCATCTTTGAACCCTCCACTAGGCTATGTTAACTGCCTTGATTTGAAACCGTTGTGGAAATAAATATCCTTTCCAGAAAAGAATTTACATTTCTTAGCTGGAAAAACATAACCTAACTTGGAATTCCTGAGTTTGCATCTCTTGTCCCCACCCCTTGATCTGGGGGTTCTCTAGACTAGGTCTGTGGTTTAGCTGCATGATGAGTTGACTTGTGGCACCATCAAGTGGTTTAGTCAGGCAGTGCAACTTAATTCTCCTACAAGATCAAAATAGTCCAATTTAAGCCATGTACATATTAAGGGAGGGAAGAAGATGGCAGGAAGGATGGAAGAAAAGAACAAAGCATTATAATGCAATTGAGAGATATAATGATTAGACTATCTCTACCTCTAAAAGCTCAAAACCTTATAATACCTTTAGCAGGCTTGTGATCTATATTTGGATTTTTTTTTAATCTTCACTTTTTTGTGACCTTTAAACTTAATGTATAGAAATGGTTTGCTTATGTTCCTTCATTATGTGAGACCAGGGTATCTGCAGATACTCTCTTTCCTTACTACTCAGCTTTGCTCTGGGAATGACCTTTTCTTTACTGACCCATTGTGAGAGCTTCATTGAACTCTGCATTTCCTACTCAGTCTGAGTCTGAGATCTCACGGCAACATGTGTGCTCTCGTAGATGATATCCTTGTGGCAAAATGGTTCTTAAAATATTTGACAGGCCATGGTGGCTCACATCTGTAATCCCAGCACTTTGGGAGGCCGAGGCAGGCAGATCACGAGGTCAGGAGTTAGAGACCAGCCCGGGCAAGATTGTGAAATGCTATCTCTGCTACAGATAAAAAAAATTAGCCCAGCATGGTGGCAGGTGCCTATAATCCCAGCTACTTGGGTGGCTGAGGCAGGAGACTCTCTTGAACCCGGGGGCAGAGGTTGCAATGAGCTGAGAGCCATTGCACTCAAGCCTGGGCAACAGGGCAAGACTCCATCCTAAAAAAGAAAAGAAAGATTTGACAAAAAAATTTTTTTGCTAAGTGAGGGAGACAAAAAAATTATTTTTGCTAAGTGAGGGATAAATGTATAGTGATAATCTCAATCAACAAATTCTCAAAAATCAAAAGTTACCTAATCAAAGCTGGCTCAAATATTGGAGTACTTCAGTGAAATTAGTTTACTTAGTATGAGTTTGTAGCTGCAGGGATGGGGAAAGAGACAGATGAAGAGTGACAGCAGTTGGGCCCTGGGGTTCTTGGTTCTAATGGGGAGGCTGAGGTTTCATCTAACCTGTAAAGGAGAGTGGGTTGCATTCCTTAACTTCTACTTAGGAGTGGGAAAAATACAAAGCACATACATACACAAAAACCCAGAGACATGGGACCACTCCTGCCAGGTCTCAGCAGGAGACCTTCCAGGTCTCTTTTCAGGAAGGAAATCCATAGAGTGGAACAGACCTTAGTTGGATTTCTACCTCTAGTATAATGAAGTTTTAAGATTTTGACCACCATGTGTTAGAACCATTCCTTTTCTGTAATAGAAGTGTCATTGGGCCAGATGTGCCAGCTCAAACCTGTCATCCCAACACTTGAGGAGGATGAGGTGGAAAGATCACATGAGCCTAGATGTTCGAGACCAGCCTGGGCAACATGGTGAAACCCTGTCTCTACAAAAAACTTTAAAATTAGCTGGGCATGGTGGTGCATGCCCATAGTCCCAGCTACTCAGAAGGCTGAGACAGGAGGATCACTTGAGCCCAAGAGGTCTAGTCTGCAGTGAGCTGAGATCATGCCACTGCACTCCAGCCTAAGTGACAGAACCAAACCCTGCCTAAAAAAAAAAAAGAAATAAAGAAGTATCATTGCAATGATACTTCATACATGTGAGATAAACAATACATTCACTCTTTGTTGAACTACCATGCCCAAGTTATTTCAAACTATAGAAGGACCTCTTGTATCATGACTCAGGACTTGTTATAATAGGGTTTCCTTATATTCTGTGTTGAATCACATCCAAAATGCAGCAAGCATAAGCAAAACGAACTAAACAGTATTCAGATTCCTCTAAAGGTTGTGTCCAGATCTGTCACCTCACACCCACCTAGTCAGGTGTCTTTTAGTTACCCAAATGGCTTCCATATTGTACTGTGTTCCCTCTAAAAAGCAAAAAGCAAAACAGAGGTGGTTCTATCTTATCAATAAAATTCTTTATAAAACTCAAGTAGAATGGTAAGAAACTAGGGGAGAAAAGTAGCAGCACAAGGCTGAGAAAATAAGATGTCTATTTTAGTAGGACCAAAGCCAATAGAAAAGCTTAATTAGCCATCAGTTATGGAGAAAATTGGCATTATCTCTTTAGAAGGATAAAGTATTAAAAATCTCCTACTTGGTGGTCTTGTCACAACGTTCAGTTTACTACATGTAAAAGGTATGCTGAATCTGTGCTCTCTAGATTTCTATTTGATGCTTTCCTTTTTAAAGGTTCAAAAAGGGGTCCTCCCAGCACTTTGGGAGGCCAAGGCAGGTGGATCACAAGGTCAGGAGTTCAAGACCTGCCTGACCAACATGGTGAAACCCCATCTCTACTAAAAAATATAAAAATTAGCCGGGCGCGGTAGCACACGCCTGTAATCCTAGCTTACTCAGGAGGCTAAGGCAGGAGAATTGCTTGAACCTGGGAGGTGGAGGTTGCAGTGAGCTGAGATCATGCTACTGCACTCCAGCCTGGGCGATAGAGCAAGACTCCATGTCAAAAAAATAAAAAATAGTAAAGGTTCAAAAAGGTAGATTTCTGCTTATTTTTAACTCCTTCTCTGGTCTCAAACTCTGTTTTATTGAGAGATTGATTTGTTACAGTTTTTTTTATGCCATCATGTGTTCTATCAAGTTGGCTTTAGATAGCCACTTCTCTTTTCTTCTCACTCTCTAAAGATACAGATGTTTCAACCACTAAGAGCAGTCAAGCACCACTGTACATTCTGTGTTTGTGGCCTTATAATCAATGGCATGTTTTCTGGGGTGGGTGTTACCTTTCTAGAGTGTCCTGCCATACTTCGTAGCTACAAAACTGGCTAAGATCCGAAAGCCAACTTTGGATACACCTTCTTCGGAGACGTTTGTGAAGTCTGCAATTAAAACAGTAGGCCTGCAGTCCCGAACCAATGGATACCTGATCCATGCTCTTATGGTACGTAGATTTTTTGAGTTGCAAATCAGTACTTTCTGGCTTGGGGTTTCTTTCCCATTGAGTTAGAGGATAGTATGTAATAGCCTAGTGTATATACATTGTCTAAACATACTACAATGGCTGTATACCCAAGAATTTAAAAATCTACCTATAAATAAAAACAACACTATAATAAAACATTAAATCATATGCTTCAATTTAGCCCAAATGATAGGCTGTAATTACATATCTCTCGCATTCTGTTTCCCTAGGGCTCGGTCATCTCAGTCCTACCTTCTTGGATTTATTTTAAATTAGCCATAGATATGAACAAGTCTACAAGGGCTCGCTATCTGAAGAAAATCAAGAAGAACTAAGCATTGATAACTGCACAGTAACTTGGCCAGATGCTCCAGCGTGTGCATGTTCACTGCAAGGCACCCTACTGTTCTTGAAAATCTAAAGTTGTTGTTTCAGTAGTTATTAAAATAACTAAATGTTATCTTAAGAAGAAAACAAAAGTTACTTTTAGGGGTTCTGACATATATTCTGGATACTACCAGAGGTAATTTTGAAGTTTAATATAAATGGTCACATCAAATGAATGTAGAACTAATATTGTCAAGAACAGCTAATCAGAAGGAATCCTCTCATAGCAACTCACAGAATGATAGACTCAAACACAAAACTCGGCAGTTTTATCTGCTCCAAAATGCCATTGATCATTATTTCTGTATTTTCTCTGAAGCTGATTATAAAAAGTAATGTCTAGCTACTCTTTTGTTTGTGACACTTTGAAGAAATGGAGATTAATTGATTTGATTTGTTTATAAGCAGACACACTGCAATTTACAAAGATCTCTTTAAGGTTTCATAAAATTATGTTCCAGTTTGTAAATTTATATGGAATTATTTGTTATCAAGGGTAACTAATGACATAAAAATAATTGTGAAATATGGAGTTATTTCTGACACATGAAACCCACTAAACTATGCTTTCTTATAACGTATATTTCTTCTCGGTTTAAATGTATGTAAATATCGAAGCTATATGGTATGATTTATAAAGATAAATGGGCCAAAGTGTACATTGAGACTGGTACCATCTATGGTACCCCTGAAACCCTGACCTAGAAAAGTGGTCTGCTTGGACACCCAGCCTTTTTTGTTTCTGTATTGAATCAGTGTTGCTCACACATGTGACAGAGGCTAGTCCTATAAAAGCAATGACATCATAGAAATGGCATTATACTTTTTAAATTGATACTCTATAGGTAGGTACTGATATAATTAGTTTTAATAAAACATGCTATAACCATGGTGTACAACAAAAATTCATTTCTTGAAATTAAGGCCATATTTACACTGACTTAATATAAGACTGACTTATATCCTGCTTCATAACTTGTATGGAGAACTCACCAAGACAGAATTCAATATTGTGAAATTTACAAGAAGACTGGCCTTTACCTACCTAGGCTGTGGTTCCTAAGCTCTGAGTTTTAAGCATCAGTAGATTTGTATTTAAAAAAAAAAAAATTGGGGCCTTAGCTTCTGGCTTTTAATTTTGCCAGCTAAGGACATAAAACAAAAGCAAACAAAAACCAAATAACCATCTGTTATCAGCTTATGTAAAAGAAAATATATTTTACCCCCTAAAATTAGGAAGAATACAATTTCAGAATAAAAATTGTCATTTAAATGGAATAAATATAGCTTTATGAAAGACACAGTTGTTTGCCCTTTTTTCCTCTCATTTTATTGTAGAAATGGTGACACCACAATGACCGGGGCAGTATTTTATCTACTTTCACACATTGGCTGGTTGGTTGGCTAGTTTAGTATAGTGGTGGTAGATAGAGGAGAGATTCATTTACAAGTACACAAAATACTTTTTCTTTTATCCCAGTTAGGAAATAGTTGTTGGGTAAGCACAGTGGCTTACACCTATAATCTCAATGTTTTGGGAGGCCGAGGCAGGAGGATTGCTTAAGCTCAGGAGTTCAAGCCCAGCCTGGGCAACATAGCAAGCTCTTATCTCTACAAAAAATTTAAAAAATTAAAAATAAGCCAGGTATGGTGTTAACACACCCATAGTCCCAGCTACTTGGAAGGCTGAGGCAGGAGGATTGCCTGAGCCCAGGAATTAGAAGCTGCAGTGAACTGTGATTGGACTACTGCATGCACTCCAGCCCGCGTGACACAGTGAGACCCTGTCTCAAAAAAAGAAAACAGCTGTAATTCTGGCTAGAAAATCCCGTAGCGATTTTTAAATTTCTGAGCTGTGGCTTTGATCGCTTCAACGTGGCAAGCACCCTCTTGTATCTGACACTCAGAGGTGAACATGATGATGACATGAAAATGTATTTTTCTGGCTGGGCGCATGAAAAGAAAAACTATGTTAAAAGAAAACAGTATACTCCAAACCTTCAAAATAGTGCAGTAAAAGTTTCAGGCTTAACTTTGTTGACCTGATTTTATGTTCTAATGCATACCAGGTAAGATCTGGATACAGGTGGGCCAGGCGCAGTGGCTCAAGCCTATAATCCCAGCACTTTGGGAGGCTGAGGTGGGCAGATCATGAGGTCAGGAATTCGAGAACAGCCTGGCCAACATGGTGAAACCCCATCTCTTAAAAAAAATACAAAAATTAGCTGGGCACAGTGGTGTGTGTCTGTAGTCCCAGCTACTTTGGAGGCTGAGGCAGGGGAATCACGTGAACCCAGGAAGTGGAGGTTGCAGTAAACCGAGATTGCACCACTGTACTCCAGCCTGAGCGACAAGAGTGAGACTCCATCTCAAAAAAAAAAAGACTTGAACACAGAAAGACTAGAGTAGACAAGAATCACTACAAGAGTAAACAAGAATCACTTCTCCATTCTTGGTTATATTTCATTATCCATTCATTACTAAAATCAGTTTGTTACAAGTATTTTACCTGGGATTCTTGCATGTATATGAAATTGGCCTGCGGTCTGCCTTTCTTACACTTTTTTGGCCAGGTTATGGTGTCAAGATTATAACTCCATTAATTGAATTGGAAAGTATTGCCAATTTTCCTGTTCTCTGTAAGGATTTGTAAAAGATTGGAGTGATCTGTTTGTTAAAGGTTTATAAAGCTGTCTGGCCTTAGGATTTGTTGATAGGAAGACTTTTAACCACTGATTATATTTCTTTCATTGTACTTAAACTATTCAGGAATTCTATTGTTTTCTTGTCAATTTTGACAAAATAAATCTAAGCATTTGCCCATTTTACAGTGTATTAGCATAAAGTAGCTCAAGGAATTTTCTTATTTCTAAATCTCTCCTGGATACATATACTTCCTTTTCTGATATTTGTATCTTCTCACTTTCTTTTCCTTGGCCATTTTAACAGAAGTTTGTCTATTTTCTTAATTTTTTTAAAGAACCAATCTTAGCTTCATTCATTTTCTCTGCCTTTCTCGTTTATGTTCTGCTTTCTCGTGGTTTGTTCTGTTGTTTTTCTCATTTCATAAATTGGACATTTATCTCACTCATGTTCAAGGTTTTTCCCATGTTTAGTATCTGAGTTTATTGGAATTACCTCCTTTGCTTCACCCCATGAATGAGTACATGCATGTATGCAAACATGTATATGTGTATTTTCCATGTGTATCTTTATGTTATGATATATTTGACCTGTTATTTTAAAGTGTTTTTAAATGCACAGATTTAAGAATTTTATAAATGTATTTTTTTCAAAAAAAATCATATTAATATCACTGTTAATAAGACAATTTTATATATTTTGTGAATCCTGATAAAATGTGCTGAAGATACATTAATTATGTGATATTCCTGCCAAAAATGCATAACATGAACATATTGGAGAGAAATATCAGAAAAAGCTAAACTGAGGAATATCCTGCAAAATTACCAGCCTATACTTGTCAAATATTTCAGGTTAAAGGAGAGCAAAGGGATGTGGCAAAGTACATGCAGCTCATGTTTCTAGGTGGATCCTGGTCAAGAAAGCATTTTTTAAACTTTTGCTCTGTCAGACATTTTTGAGACAACTGGTAAAATTTGAGTAAGGTCTGTAAATGATGAATAGCATTATATCAGTGTGACTTCCTGATTTTGATAATAACGTCATAATTGAGGAAAAAGTCCTTGTCTTTTAGGAAGTACACACTGGAGCACTTAGGAATTAATGGAATATTGTATATACAACTGAATGTCAAAAGGTTCTGGAAAAATTATATAGAGAGAAAATGGTAGAGTAAATGTGGTAAGATGTTAACCTTTGGAAATTTTAAGTGATATGGATACTTTGTACTGTTTCACAGATTTACTGTCAATCTGGAATTATTTCAGAATAGAAAGTTTAAACATAGCTTTTGTTGTTGGTTCTAACTAATTGCATGTGGTCAAAGAACATGTGGGTATGATAAAGCTTGGACAAATTATAACCTTTCTCTGCCTCAGCTTTGCCATCTGAGAAATGGAAATAATAGCACCTAGGTCATAGATGGTTTGAGAGTAAGTTAAGACATTTAAAGTAATGAGAATTCATCCAGGCACAAAGTATCTAAACATATGTTGTATTTAAGCTGAATAATGGCCCCCAAGACATCAGGTTTTATTCCAGTGAACCCCATATTACCTTAAATGGAAATGAGGTCTTTGCAGATGTGATTAAATTGGGGCTCTTGGCTGGTGGTGTGGTGGCTCACGCCTGTAATCCCAGCACTTTGGGAGTCTGAGGCGGGTAGATCACAAGGTCAGGAGTGATCCAGCTTGACCAATATGGCGAAATCCCATCTCTTAAAAAAATACAAAAATTAGCCCAGCATGGTAGTGGGCACCTGCAGTCCCTGCTACTCAGGAGACTGAGGCAGGAGAATCACTTGAACCCGGGAGGCGGAGGTTGCAGTGAGCTGAGATCGCACCACTGCACTCCAGCCTGGGTGACAGAGCAACACTCCATCTCAAAAATAAATGAATAAATAAAAATCAAAACAAATTGGGAGTCCTGAGATGGGGAGATTTTCTTGGATTGTCTAGATTGGTCCTACATGCAGTCACACGTGTCTTTAATCAGGCAGGGAGATTGCAGACAGAAGAGGAGAAGGCAATGTGAACATGAAGGCAGAGATTGGAGTGAGGCAGACACAAACCAAGGAATACCAGTAGCTACAAAAAACGGCAGGGAATTAACAGGTTCTCTCTTAGAAATTCTGAATATGAAGCATCCCATCAACAATTTGATTTTGGTGTGGTGATACTTATTTTGTACTTCTGGCCTCCAGGGAACTGTGAGAATAAATTTCTGTTATCTTAAACCACTGAGTTTGTGATAATTTCCAGCCACCCTAGGAAACACAAATGTAAATTGCATTACCTATTAGAGGTTTTGTTTGTTTAGCGTCAGGGTCTCCCTCTGTTGCCCAGACTGGAGTCCAGTGGCGTGACCATGGCTCATTGCAGCCTCGAACTCCTGGGCTTTTGCAAGTGATCCTCCCTCTTCAGCCTCCTGAGTAGCTGGGACTACAGGCACTGGCTTTTTAATTTTTATTTTTAAAGATGGGGGTCTCAGTATGTTGTTCAGGCTGGTCTCCAACACCTGGTCTCTTCCAGTCCTCCTGCCTCAGCCTCCCAAATAGCTAGGATTCCAGGGATGAGTCATCATGCCTAGCTAGAAATATTTTAAGACTTGTATGTCCAGGTATGGCCAGTTTTTAATGTGTTTCACATTTGCTTCCTAATTTTTCTTATTTTTCTTCTTTTTTTTTTTTGAGACTGGTCTCATTCTGTCCCGCAAGCTGGAGTACAATGGCATGATCTTGGCTCACTGCAGCCTCAACCTCCTGGGCTCAAGCAATCTTCCCACCTCAGCCTCCTGAGTAGCTGGGTATGTTGCCCAAGGTGGTCTGGAACTCTTGGGCTTAAAGGATCCTCCAGTCTTGGCCCCTCAAAGTGTTGGGATTACAGGTGTAAGCCAAGGCACTTAGCCTCTAATTGTTTTCTACATATGTGGCGATGCTTGTTAATTGGGTTGTTCAAATCTTTCATATCTTTACTAATTCTTGTCTGACCTATTAATAATTGACAAAGGTATTTCAAATTGTCTCACTGTAAAAGATTTGCAATTTCTCCTGTTTTGTTAGTTTTAACTTTATACATTCCATTGAGTAAATAAAGTTTCGAATTCTTGTGTTGTCCTGGTGAGTTCAACTCTTCTTGCTATGCAGTGACTTCCTTATTGCTAATGCTTTTTGTCTTAGCAAAAAAAAAAAAAATCTGTTTTCTGTGATCTCAATATAGCATTAGTTGGTATGTAGTGTGTATCTTTTGATCCCTTTACCTCCTATCTTGCCACGTGTTGATGGTTTCGTTTTATCTCTTGTAAGTCAAACCTAGATGCTGGTTTTTCACATGGCCATCTCTATCCTTTAGTAAACAAATTTATTCTGTTTACATTTATTGTAATTCCTAAAACATGAAGATTTCTCTCATGTTATTTCGTCCTACTTGTTTCTCTTTTGTGCATTTTTCCCATCACTTCTTGATTGGCTGTTTGGTTTTATTATCATTATTCCATTTCTCCCTCTGTACTAGGTTTGAAGTTTTATTTTTCTCGTGTTTACTCCTGAGCTTTTAAAATGCATACTCTATACAATCTAAAGTTATCTGGTATCATAACCCCTTCTTTAATAATAATGGACTTTGGAACATTGTAAGCCTGATGAACCCTTTCCCTACATACATGCTATTGTGGCCCAGTATTCTAACTTTGATTTTTAAAACTCCATAACTTAGACATTTTTATTATCTTATACACACATCTTTGTATAAAATAAATTACCACCTGTTTATCAATTTTCTTGTATACTTTTACTTCTTACATCTCAAATATTTTGGTGCATAGCATACTTTGACATCACCTTTTTTCTTTTTTGGTGCTGAGTAAAACAGTGGTGTGATTTAGCATTGACGGCATCTTTAAGTTAGTGAAATACTGGATCATATTACTGACTTCTGCCTTCCACTGTTGGTTTTCAGAAAACAGTATGGCGCTTTTTTTAATAGGTGATCTATCTCTGGCCTCTTTTATGATGCCTTTGACTTGGTGTTCTTTAGTTTTCTGCTAAGGGGTCTAAGTGTGGAACTCTTTATCCTACCTGGTTTACAGTATGCTCCCTGTAGCTATGAATTCATGTCTTTTGTTTTTCTGAAAAATCATCACTCATTATCTCAATGTCTCTATCTGAGACTCAAGTTACGAGTGTCAAGTCTTCATTCTGTCGGTTTTTTTTTTTCTTTTTTGAGATAGCATCTTTCTCTGTCATCCAGGCTAGAGTGCAGTGGCACAATCTCGGCTCACTGCAACCTCCACCTCCCGGGTTCAGGCGATTCTTCTGCCTCAGCCTCCTGAGTAGCTGGGACTACAGGCACCAGCCACCACGCCTGCCTAATTTTTGTAATTTTTTTAGTAGAGGTAGGTTTTCACCATGTTGGCCAGGCTGGTCACGAACTCCTGACCTCAAATGATCCACCTGCCTCAACTTCTCAAAGGTTTGTGATTACAGGTATGAGCCACTGCACCTGCCCATTCTGTCTTTTAATCTCACATTCATACTTTCCATCCTTGTCTCCCTGAGCCACATGCTGCATAATTTCTTCATATCTATATTCCATTTCTCTAACTGTTCACATCTTATCTGCTGGTTGAAACTATTCACTGCGATTTTAATTTAAAATTTTTTTCATTTTAAAAAAGTTCTGCCGGGCGCGGTGGCTCAAGCCTGTAATCCCAGCACTTTGGGAGACCAAGGCGGGTGGATCACGAGGTCAAGAAATCGAGACCATCCTGGTCAACATGGTGAAACCCCATCTCTACTAAAAACACACACACACACACACACACACACACACAAAATCAGCTGGGCATGGTAGCGCGTGCCTGTAATCCCAGCTACTCGGGAGGCTGAGGCAGGATTGCCTGAACCCAGGAGGCGGAGGTTGCAGTGAGCCGAGATCGCGCCATTGCACTACAGCCTGGGTAACAAGAGCGAAACTCCATCTCAAAAAAAAAAAAAAAGTTCTATTTGGGGCCAGACACAGTCCTCATGCCTGTAATCCCAGCCCTTTGGGAGGCCAAGATGGGAAGATTCCTTGAGGCCACGTGTTCAAGACCAGCCTGGACAACAAAGTAAGACCCCCCCCCCAATCTCTTCAAAAACTTAAAATGTCCGCCAGGTGTGGCATTGTTCACCTGTAGCCCCAGCTACTTGGGAGCCTAAGGCAGGAGGATCACTTGAGCCCAGGAGGTTGAGGCTGCAGTGAGCTATGATCGTACCACTGCACTTCAGCCTGGGCAACAGAGTGAGACCCTGTCTTAGGGGGAAAAAAACATCTGTTTGGTTCTCATTTTAACCTGCCTGGTCAGTCCTAACAGTTTTTTTATTACTTGCTCATTTTTAAAATTCAGTGCTAAAAGTTTACCTAACTATGTAATACATTGATATTTTATGGTCCCTATCTGGTGACACCAATATCTTAAATCTTAGGAGTCTAAATCCATCATGTTTGTATTTCTGGTGGCTCTCACTCAAAGTGCTTTACTTTTCCTCTTTGTTTGGGATTTTTATTTTTGTTTTTTAAGACAGGGTCATGATCTGTTGCCCAGGCCTGAGTGCAGTGGCACAATCATAGCTCACTGCAGCCTTGACCTCCTGGGCTCAAGCAGTCCTCCACCCCTCAGCCTCCCAAGTAGCACAGTGCTGGCTACAGTCAATACTCAATATTTGTAGATTAAATGAATGAATCAATGTATGGGTGAATCTTCATACAGTCCAACAGATGAGGAAAACTAAGTAACTTGTTTAAGTTAAGTTACTAAGTTACCCACCAAGGGAGTAGTGAAGCTAAGGTTTGAATCAAGTCTTGTGTCTGACATCTTAGTTCATACACCCAAAATGATGCCATTCCCATGGTTCTGGGGACTCAGTGGCTCTACAGAGGAATCTGGTAAGCTATCTAGATAAAGCCACCAGGGATGCTTAATAACCCAAGGGCTGCTGGGTTACACTGCTACCAACTCTTCTCTTCTGAAGTCACTCAAAGACACCAGCTATGAGGTCCCAAGAAATGGCCCATATGTCACTTTAGGAATAGTCCTATTTTTCCTAACTTGCTTTCATTCTGGCATGTATTTGCAGAGAAGTGTCACATGGTATCATGTGGCATTGTGGTTCAGTCTTCTTTGTAAAATTGGTTTAATAATAATGCCTGAGTAATTGGGCTCTGAAAATTAGATCAGTGTAGGCATGTAAGTGATTGGAACAGCACTTGGCACGTAGGAAGCGCTCAAGAAATGTTAACTAATGTTATTATTTACTATTAATTAGAAATAAGAATGTGTATATGTTGCTGGCTATGTTTAGGGGTGATGTAACTATAAGAATATCTTTGAGCTGTCTGAATGCTACATACTTTAAAAGCTTGACATAATTCCCTATACTCCATAATGACTTTACTAATGACTATAACCTCTAGTGATCTCTTGTTCCCCAGATTTTTGTCTGCTCTCCATAATTTCACATCCAATTACACCGTTTTTTAATTGTATCTCATAGTTTACCCTGTGGTTCACTGGAAGGAGAGTTTACCTCCTGCAGCATCTACAATCGTGCTGGGCATTGAACAGAAGGCATTCCTGTCTGGAGTCTGGGGAAGCGTCCTTTGCCTCTAAACGTTGTTGAAAGTTGGCAGAGACCTGAAAGCCTCACAGCAAACATGCTGCAGGGTTGGCAGTTTCTCTTCCCACCCTCCTTCCTCAAGCTGGGAACTGCTAAACCTTTGGCAGTGAGACACGGGCTGGGAATTTCTCTATGCAACACCTTCACTGAGCGCTATTAGCATGATGTGCCATTATTTTCCTTGGGTTGGATTTTCTCAGGAATACAGCAGCAGGTGCTCCACAAGCTGCACATGATTGAAACAGGGAATGTTTGGCAAGAGCCTGGTGTGAAAATCGGCAACTGAAAATAGGCTACAGGGTGTAGCTCACTCAGAATCACTGTTAAGAGCTACCAGCGCTTAAAGCATCTATCAGTTTTGCCATCCAGGGGATGAGATATCTCTTGAGTGGAAGAGTGATCACCTGTGGAAAACAGGCAGATGGAAAGGGTACAGAGAATGGTGCAGATACTGGCAAAATGGAACGAAACATTGTTAAAAATGCACATTGCTGCCAGGCTCAGTGGCTCACACCTGTAATCCTAACACTTTCGGAGGCCAAGGCCAGCAGATCACCTGAAATCAGGAGTTCAAGACTAGCCTGGGTAACACAGTGAAACCTGTCTCTACAAAAATACAAAAAATTAGCCAGGCATGGCAGTCGGGAGGCTGAGGCAGGATAATTGCTTGAACCTGGGAGGCAGAGATTGCAGTGAGCCGACATTGTGCCACCGCACTCCAGCCAGGCCACAGTGAGACAACGTCTCAAAAAAACAAAAGCACATTGCTGGGCCCTGCCTACTAACCAAGAATCCTGAATGCACATTCGGGCTCCTGGAATGTGCATTTTTACAGCATCCCCTAGTGATTCTCATGCAGTTGCCCTTCCAGCCACATGCTGAGAAATGGTGGCTTCAAAACAGGAAGCAAGGAACCAGCAACATCTAGTTTATGATGGTAGTCTCAGGTGAGGACAGACAAGAGGGAGCAAGCAACACAAGAGCGATGGGCCGAGACAGCCACCAAACTCAGAGGCAAATCAGTGACATACAGAGGCCAATCCTGGGCCCAGACAGTTCGCCTTTGCTTTCAACCCCTGATGCCACATTCCCACTATAACCATCAGGACTCAGGAGACAGAAACTACATAATTATTTGGACAAGAAAGAAATAGGCGGTGGCTCATGCACATAATCCCAGCACTGCGAGAGGTCAAGGCAGATGGATCACTTGAGATTAGGAGTTCAAGACCAGCCTGGTCAACATGGCAAAACTGTCTCTAATAAAAATACAAAAATTAGCTGGGTGTGGTGGTACACATCTGTAATCCCAGCTACTCGAGAGGCTGAGACAACAGAATTGCTTGAATTTGAGAGGTGGAGCCAAGATCACACCACAGCACACCAGCCTGCCTATATTAACCATAATAAGAGGTTACTGACAAAGGGAAAAAGAGAACTCTAAGAACACAAGTGTAAACCAAAAAGTATCTGAGACGAGTCTCCATCAGTTTAGACGTTTCCTTTGCCAAGGTTAAGAAAATGTCTGGTAGAAAAGAACACGGAATCACAGAAAGTCTGTGGTCTGTGCCTTTCTCCAAAGGTGATTTTGAGAGCTTTAATATTTAAAGGGAAAAAGTGGGCTGGAGGGGCAAGAGAGAGGGTCTGGTGATCCACATGATACTAAAAAAAGGAGCAGGTAGGAGAATAGTCAATTACGTATTCATCTCACACCCAGTAAACTGGCATTTTACATTAGAAAGGGTAAACATAGAGGAGCTACCCATGGAAATATTTAACCTTGAACAGTAGTTCTCTGGGAACAAAAGCAAATGCAGCTTCTTGCATGACTCAGCTTTGAGTTTAATTTTTCCTTTTGGCAGAGTGAATTAGGGTCCTGAGATTTTATTTTCCTTTCACATGGGCGTAACAGATGTAGACAGAAGCCTCTACATCTAGTTTGAGGCAGAACAGCAAGGAAGGAACAACTCTGGAACAGCTGCCATCTATCAGGGTTAAGGAGCCAAACCTCACTGGAGGAGACATGGCGGCGTTTTGCTGGTTGGCGACGTTTGCTGGGGTGCTGTGCCAAGAGCACTCACTGTGCTGCTGGGAAACTGCCCAGGGGAGGTGCCAAGCTCTGCTGGCCATGGTGCATGGCAGGATTGGCTGAAAAGATGTGTTCGTGTCTTAGGGCTGCCATAACAAATTACCACAAATGGGATGGCTTAAAACAACAAAGTTTCATCCTCTCACAGTTCTGCAGACCAAAAGTCCCAAATCAAAGTATTGGCAGGGATACGCTCCCTCTACAGGCTCTGGGGGAGGATCCTACCCCAATTTTTCCAGCTCCAGTGGCTCCAGACATTCCTTGGCTTGTGGCAACATCCCTCCAAGCTCTGATTCCACCTTCGCATGGCGTCCTCTCCTGTCTTTCTCTGTCCCTCTGTCTCCAAATCTCCCTCTCCTTGTAAGGACAGCAGTCACTGGATTCAGACCTATCCTAATCCACTCTGCCCTGAACTTAACTTGATTGCATCTGGAAAGACCCTATATTCCAAATAAGGTCGCGTTCACAGGTTTTGAGTGGACGTAAATTTGGGGGTGGATATTATTCAACCTAGTACAGAGGAACACACAGGAACCATGAAAAAGAGCCCGTTCCTCTTTTATAAGGGCTAATTAAAAAAAAAATTTAAGAGCCCCTTCCTCGAGGGTGCCTTCAGGACTATTGACTAATGAAGCTTACTGTTGGGTTGGCTAGCAAGGGAGAAGTGTTTCAGTACAACAAGCAGGCAACAAAGGGTGGGTCTGGAGCTGAGCGTTAATAAGAATTGATAATTCAGAGTCCACTCCTTCAGTTACTCAGTTTCCATATGCACCACCCTTCTACACACATTTGAATTTCCGTAGGATCAACACAATACCTCTGTTTCCAGCTAACAAAATACCTCTGTTTCTCCTTCATAGAAGTGAAGGTGCTCTCACTGCTTCCCCCCTAATGAAATCCAACAGTCACCATACCTACCACTGACCATATTACATACTCTTCAAATTCAATCATCATCCTACAGAATGTCCTGCTACCTAGAAACTAAAGTGTAAAAGTAAACTCCAACTACATGTGTATAAAATAGTGGAGAGAAGAGAGAAGAACATCATTTTCATATACAAAGGCACATACATATAACTAGCAGAGAAAGAACATACAAAGAGCATACAGTGTTTCTGTTACTGGTTATGACATCACTGGTGGCTTTGTCCCCCACTCCCTCCATATTTCCCTTGCCCTTAGCCAGAACCCCAGTTCACTGATTTCTTTACCTGATGGTAAAACACAAATCTTCATTCTTAATCCAAGTTATTATCATTCTGTTGTTTTGTTGTTGCTGCTTTTGTAGTTTTCTTTGTTTTTTAATGGACACAAAGCACCAAGAGGCACCTGAGAAAATCCTTTTGGTTCCAGGCACAGTCCTTGTGTAAGCATTCCCACACCAGCATGGCTCGATGTCGCTGGGACAGGAGACAAGTAGGTTAGTAATTATACTACTGAAAGGGGTCCCTCTCATTTTCACCCTTCGTTCCCAGTGTCATGTATTCTGGTTAAGGGAGAAAGAGCACCATATTCTGATCTCTGATTCAAAGCATAAACTGCATCCAATAATACAGAACTCTACCTTTTCAGGGATTCTCTCCCGATTGGGGCCATAATTACATCTTCAGTAAGCCATTCTATCTTTCAATTAGCCAAACTGTTTCCAATGAGTGAGAAGTTAAGCCCATTGATGTACTTCCTTTGCTGTGAAATGAATTCCTTGATTAGGGAGTACCATGAAGGGGAATAAGACATTTGGTGAGTCCACTGATGGTGGCACTGGCCAAAGCAGCACGCAAGGAAGTAAATCCATATCCAGAATATGAGCATATTCCAGTGAAGATGAATCTCTACCCTCTCTATTATGGAAAATGTCCAATGTAATCAAACTGCTACAAGTGGTTGGATGGTCACCCAATCAATGGTGACATATGGAAGGCTCAGTGTTGGTCTTGGCTATTTGTAGGTTAGGTATGCAGCAGTAGCATTGGCCAGGTCAGCTTTGGGAAAAGGAAGTCTGTGTTATTGAGCCCATGCATATCCTCCCTCCCTGCCACCATGACTACTCTGGTCATGGGCCTATTGGCCCACAGCATTACAGTATGAGCCATCACATCAAGCTAACACATGTATTACTAAAGCATCAAAAACACTTTCTACTTTCTGTTCATCATATCCAATCAGCATAATATCAGCATTATTGTTGACGAGTGTGATGTTTTATAGAATGTCAGGATGAGAGGTGGACCTGTAGTATGACAGCAGAAGAACTGAGGTATCTCTGAGGCAAGACTATGAGAGTATACTGTTGGCCCTGCCAGGTATAGGTAGAATGTTTCTTTTTTTTTTTTTTTTTTTTGAGACAGAATCTCACTCTGTCACCCAGGCTGGAGTGCAGTGGCACAATCTTGGCTCACTGCAACCTCCACCTCCCTAGTTCAAGCGATCTTCCTGCCTCAGCCTCCTGAGTAGCTGAAACTACAGGCATGTACCACCATGCTTGGCTAATTTTTTGTATTTTTAATAGAGATGGGGTTTCACTATGTTGGCCAGGCTAGTCTTGTACTCCTGACCTCAGACGATCTGCCCGCTTTTGCCTCCCAAAGTGCTGGGATTACAGATGTGAGCCACTGTGCCCAGCCAAGGCAGAAAGTTTTTTTGTAAGTTAATATGGAGAAAAAGGCCGAGCCAGGTCAAGTATGCTGCATACTAAAGGCAAAAGGTTATGTTAACTGCCTCAGTAAAGACAGCACATGTGGAACAGCAGCTGCATTGGACTCAGGAGTAACTACCTGATTAAATTTACAACAGCCAAGTCATTCTCCAAGATCCATTTGACATCTGCGCAGGCCAACAGTAAATTAAATGAGAATGAGAATGTGATAGAATTACCATCTGATTCTTTCACGTCTTTGATTGCACCATTAATCTTTGCAATTCCTCCAGGAATGTGGTATTGCCAGTATTTACTATCTTAGTAGTAAGGGGAAGTTCCAGGAGTTTTCACATAGCCTTTTCTGCCAACTGGCCCTCACTCTATGGGTCAGAGAGTCAATATGGGGATTCTGGCAGTTGCCAAATAAGACTAATCCAGCTACAGATGGTCCCTGACTTATGACGGTTCCATTGATGATTTTTTTTTTCTTTTCCAATTTGGGTTGTCACCAACATTGATGATTTTTTGACTTGACAATAGTGCAAGAGTGATGCACATTTAGTAGAACCTGTACTTCAGTGCAGCATTCAGTAAATTACATGATATATTCAACACTTTATTATAAAAAAGGCTTTGTGTTAGATTATTTTGCCCAGCTTAGACTAATATAAGTGTTCTGAATATGTTTAAAGCAGGCTAAGCTAAGCTGTTATGTTCCACATTGGGTGGAAGGTTGGGTGTAGCATATGCATTTTGATTTATGATATTTTCAACTTGCAATGGGTTTATCAAGATGTAACTCCATCATAAGTCAAGGGAGCATCTGTATACATTCAGGAGCTAGGGAAATAACCACTGGATGAATCTGTGGACCAACTGGGTCCATTGTGAGTCAAACTTGAACTCAGATTCCATCTATCACCTGAACATCATAAGCCCTCACTTTCACTCGTGGGATTCAGAGGTGTCCTAGGTTTCCAGGAATTGGTTCAGAGCCACTGCCCAGTAAACCCCAAAGGATCGGGGTACTTTTCCCCAGTATGTAACCATTTGAGTAAATGGCTGCATTCATTTGGATAAGGGCTTGGAGGAAAATTTACAGTATATACTTGTGACAATGGTGCAGGTTCCTTCCTCTAAGAGATCTGGCCTCCCTGTCAATCAAGAGGTTTGGGCTTGTGATATGACTTGTCTAAAAACTAGGTGAGGGACTATGTCTATCCAGTGTGACACTTAGGTGAGATTTTTGGCTACTAGACCTAGAGGTTTTTTCTGTTAGATAGATCAAACAACTCTCTAGTAGGCTGTCCATCTGTTTCATCCCTACATGCGTCCTAAAAGTTTTCAAAATTTTTGCGCACAGAATCACTTGGGTACTTGTTAAAAATGCAGGTGATTCTGTTAAAAATAAAATGCAATGATTTGGCTGGGCACAGTGGCTCAGGCCTGTAATCCCAGCACTTTGGAAGGCTGAGGTGGACAGATCACCTGAGGTTGGGAGTTCAAGACCAGCCAGACCAACATAGAGAAACCCCATCTCTACTAAAAATACAAAATTAGTTGGGTGTGGTGGCATATGGCTGTAATCCCGGCTACTCAGGAGGCTGAGGCAGGAGAATCGCTTGAACATGGGAGGCGGGGGTTGTGCTGAGCCAAGATCACACCATCACACTCCAGTCTGGGCAACAATAGCAAAACTCCGTCTCAAAAAAAAAAAAAAAAAAAAAGCAGTGATTTCAGATGCAAGTAAATCATGGACCGATTTTTGAGAAATACACTACTTAGAGGCTGAAGAGGGGTTAATTATTACTTTTAGGAACTCCTCAATCCAGACTTCTTTGTTCCTGTTCCAAAACTATAATCATTGAAAAGAAAGAAATGACATCTTTTAGAAGATACAGCCAAAGTTCCTGAGCCAGAAGCAGACACTGACAAATTAGTTCATGGGGGAAAAAAACTGTAGTCTGACCTTAGCATTTTCTTTCCTTTCAGTTCTAGGATAAATAATTTTCCTTTAATATCACAAAGTATAACAAATAATAATGAGTGCTGTGAAAACAGATTTGATAGTAGCAACAATATACGTACGTTGATAAGGTATACCTATATTGAGCTTCCTGCAGATAAACACTCATACTAGGCTTTAAAAGTTCCACAGTGACTATACTTTGGCAGATCTTAGAGAATGACTTGCATAAAACCGTCAAGTCAGTGCTACTTTTGCTATTTTCATACTGTAAGGTACATGGTTTAACATGGTCACTTTAATGATGTTTCTCACGAGCTCAAATGGGGTGGGTTCGTTTTAAATTTTTTGAGTTTTTGTTGTGTTCCAGGCATTGTGCTAAATTCTTTAAATGCATTATCTCATTTAATCCTCCCAACAAGAGCTATACCCATTTTAAAAAGAGGCGAGGACTTGCCCTAGATTATACACCTAGTAAATGGTGGTGTCTGAGCCAAAATGTAGGTCTGTTCACCCAAGCAAAATTTGCTTAGCACTGAAGAGAGCCGAGGCGAATTAACGCGTGGTCCTATGCTCTGCTGTAAATGCTGTGATCGGACGCGTGCACAGGCTGCAATAGGAACACAAAGGAGGCTCATCTCAGGCTCTCCGAGGCTTTTAGGATAAAATGCAAATCCTTTTGCTTAGCACATCATAACCAGCTTCCTCAAGACCCTCGCCCTTTATCCAGCCCTGCTGGCACCCGGTTGTTCTTTCTGCCACAGAGATGCCGATGCTTGGACATCTCCAGTTTCGAGGAACTCACGTAGGAGGCACGCCTTCATTTCCACCTTTGCCAAACCCCGACTCCTTCACACCGCTCCACCGTACTCTAAATCCCTGCCGTGCGCTCCAACCCCTAGCCCCTCATCGGCACCTTCTGATTAGGCCATTTAGGCGCGAGGCATGTGGGGCTGCCCGGACTGAGGATGGTGCACCGGAAGTAGCGGCGGCGCCGCGTAACGTAGAGAGGAAGTGCCTGATGCCGCGGCCTGTGATTGGGGGATGCTGGAGTCGGTGCTTCACTCTTAAGGTTCCGACCACAGACTGCGGAGTGGGTCCGGGGCTGCGGGGGCTGCGAGGGCTGCTCCACGTCCTAGCGGGTTTCGACCCGCGCGTCCGGCATCGCCAGCTAGTGCGCTTTCCTGACTTACCGCTGGGTGCGCGGGGCTGGGGGTGTGAGGACCACCCCTGAGGTCTCTTCCTGGGTGACCTCCTGGGCCTCATTCTAGGCTTCCTGGAAGAGAAGGATCTAAATTAGGAAAAGGAACTACCCTTATCCAGGACCAAGCTCTTCTACCTGCGAAGCTCGCTTAATCTGCACCTCACTGTGCAGGAAGTGACTCCCCTGTTTACTGAGGATAAACTGGGGCTGAGAAAGGTAAAGTCATTTGCCATGGGCCATGCAGCTGGGAAGTGACAGATCTGGATTCAAGGCGAGTTCTGGCAGGCGCCAGAGTCCTTGTACTTTACAGCACTGGTTCTCAAACTCTATGTGCATTAAGAATTCCTGGGTCGAGGATGGCGTTAGTTAACAAATTCTGGGACTCTACAAATTGAATAGGTCTGGGATGGGCTCTGGAATCTGTATTTTCAACAGTTGTTCTCTGACAGATTAATATATGGCTCCCCAGTGAACGGAGGAAGAAGGTGAGCAAGTCATATCCTCTCCGGGGACTATAGGTAATTGCTGTGTTACGCTTTGAAGGCCTCAATTGAGAGAAATTGTCAAACGGGAACTCCTGGAATTGGAGAACTGGTATTTGATTCTGTCATTAACCCTTCTGGGCAGATGGCAGGCTCTGTCGTTTCCCCACCTATTAAATGAAACGATTTACATGCTCATCAGCTGGGGGAACTTGTTAATCACACAGATTCATGAGCCTGGCTTAGCTCTAGAGAATCAGAAGAGGTGGAAGATGGGACCTGGGAATCTATAGGCTAAGCAAGCTATTATATAGAATGAATGTTTACCTTTGAGAACTTGAGGTGTGGAGCCTTCTTAGGTAGAAGCATAAGGAAGTGGATTATAGATTTGGAACACGTAGCTTCAATTTCCTTGTTATTTTGTTAGCCATACATGCTTCTGCATTTGCTGTAGGCTAAACTTTAATTGGTACAAATGTCAAATTAGTATTAGCCATTATGAGGTGGATTTCTCAGTTGGAGACAGGAATTTAATAAAAGTTGAATATTAATCTATCTATTGTAGATTTCTTGAGTGTGGCCCACATACATGCCTGCAGTAGTGACAAATCTTACACTCCTTCTTACAAAGACAAATACCTGTATCCATCCTAAATTAAATTTTCTGGAGGTGGGCCATGGGTGTTTTGAACAAACTTCCAGGGAAGTCTGATGCAGCCAGTGATAATGGAATGTGAAAATACGCTTGGAAACAGTCTTAGCCTATTTCTTAATGTCCATGTAGGTGAAAATGGGAATAGTACAGTTTCCTTATTTTCTACTCTTGGGGACTATTAAGAGGAATGTTGTTTATGATAGGTCCCGATTTTAGAATTTCTTAAAATAGGCCGGGCATGGTGGCTCACGCCTGTAATCCAAGCACTTTGGAGGCAAAGGCAGGCGGATCACCTGAGGTTGGGAGTTCAAGAATTTCTTAAAATGCACTTTTTTTGTGAAAGAAGCAAAAGTACTATGCTAAGATTTCAAAAGGTGAATGCTAAAGCCAGCAGCCCCAATTGACTTAGGCCCCTTGATTGAAGTGTTGTGATGACAGAAACTGATTTTACATAGAAGCTCTATTGCCATTGAGAGTCTTTTGCCTGAAATTAATTATGCCTTAGGAGTAATTGTTCACAACCCTAACTAAAAACACTAATTTTTTTTTTTTGTCTTAATAAACAGATACCATTGAGTAGTTTGAAGCAGGAACAAAATCTTCCAAAAGCTCAGAGCAGAAGCCTTTTTGGTCAACATGGAGGAAAAAAGACGGCGAGCCCGAGTTCAGGGAGCCTGGGCTGCCCCTGCTAAGAGCCAGGCCATTGCTCAGCCAGGCAAGAAAGGCAAGAATCTGTAGGGATTGTGTGTGTGTGTGTGTGTGTGTGTGGTGTGGAGGGGGGGTGGGGACAACTCTCATTCTCTTTTATTTATATCCTTTTGGTTTATAATGGACTTCTGTTTCAGTTGATGTCAAGGAATTCTTGAAAACGTGGTTGATATTTTGTTGATGATGAGCTAAGGGTAGGTCTTTGGTGTTCTTCATATTTAGTTCACACCCTCAAACCTTTCAGTGTGTGTTGAGGTCTTCTGTTGACTGTACCAGTTAGTTTCTAGATGTCATAGAGGTCATCTCCAAGTGGGCTTTACTGGCCCTTGCTCAGTAGAAGGTGCTGAGAACAGACTTTCCCCTGGTTTGAGGCTGTCTCCTCTCTTGCTTCAGCTACCACTGCTAAGAGCCCTCTCCACCAGAAGCCTGGTCAGACCTGGAAGAACAAAGAGCATCATCTCTCTGATAGAGAGTTTGTGTTCAAAGAACCCCAGCAGGTAAATTATTGTTTTTTTTTCTTCAATAATGACAGAAGTTTGCTTTGAAAAGTGTTATTCACACAGTAGACCAAATAATGACTGAATAAATTCACTAATGAATAGTAGAGCAGAAGAACTATAATAATAACGAAATGCAAAGTATTTCAGTTCCTTTCTACCTCTGGGGATTCTCTGTAGTCTGCTCCCAGTTTATGGTCACATATTATTCCTGTATTGCTGACAAGGAGGTTACACCATAATGAGAGCTTCCTCACATTGGTTATTTGAGCTCCAGCAGTCCTAAAACTGTGCTGTCTTCAGTACTATTGCACTTCAACATCTTTGGAATTAGATTAAAATTTCAGTTATTACAGCAAAATGCCTGATTTTTAGCTCTTTTTTTCCTATGAGAAAAAATGTAGGAAACAGTGAAGATTTACTTTTTAATAATGTGGAAAAGTTAAAATGTTGGGTATCTTGCTGTAGAGCAAGACTCTAAATAATTATTAAAGCTCTAGGCTGGGAGCAGTGACTGACGCCTGTAATCCCAGCACTTTGGGAGGCAGAGGTGGGCAGATTACCTGAGGTCAGGAGTTTGAAATCAACCTGGCCAACATGGCAAAACGCTGTCTCTACTGAATATACAAAAATTAGCCTGGCGCAGTGGCGGGTGCCTGTAATCCCAGCTACTTGGGAGGCTGAGGCAGGAGAATCACTTGAACCCAGGAGGTGGAGGTTGCACTGAGCCGAGATCGCGCCATTGCACTCCAGCCTGGGCAACAAGAGCAAGACTCCATCTCAAAAAAAAAAAAAAAAAGCTCCTTATTTTATAGTATACTTTCTATGTTAAAAAATCTTATTGTCAAGAAGATTTTTCCAGAGCTGCTGGCAGCTAGGAAGATTTATTCTATTAATAATTGTATCTTGTTTTACTGTCTGCTAGCAAATGTGAAGTAGTTTTAAGAAGAGCAGAGACAAGGGTCTCTTGTGGGGTAGTGAGAAGCTGGAATAGAAAAGGGATAGTTTCTGACTTTATTTGGACCAGAAATGGGAAGATATGGTGTCAGTATCTGTGAGGATTAAGAATGTTCCAGAAGTAAGATCTGCTTATTTCCTTGCAGGTAGTACGTAGAGCTCCAGAGCCACGAGTGATTGAGTAAGTAATTTGCTATCTTCCTGTAATTATTGCCCGCAGTGAAATGAAGAGCCTGGAATCTTTCCTCTCTCTTTTTTTTTCCATCTGGAAGAGAATGGCCCAATAAGTGTCTTAATTTTAGTCTGGGATATTCCCATCTCAAATATCTTTAAACCTCATCTTTTGAGAAGACTTTCTGAATTTGCTGGTGGTATGGAAAATGCAACAAGATAGCTGTATGTTAAACTTTGACTCCTGTAGATTTCCTGGCCCTATTTCACAGATATCTGTAGACAGTCAGCTAAACCTCTCAGGCAAAGGCAGAGAGGAATTTTCCTGAGTCACTGAAGCATGGTTCTTTAAGAAGCCATTGACTAGCCTTTAAAATAAAAAATAATAATAATAAAAAAGAAGCCATTAATTGTCATTTTTCTAGCAATGCTTATGAAAGCTGCTACTGCTGCAGATGACCTTACAGTCCATTTATTAAAACCATGTAATTATTCCAGAACAATTTAAATGATAGTAAATATTATTCTTATATTGATATGTGTCTAAAATGTTCTTGTCCAAAGTTGGTGAGAGATGCTTTGACTCCTCTTTTCATGCTTGTCAGTCTTCATATGATGTAGATAAATTGTCAGTAGAAACAGTTCTTATATCTTAGTAAATTAGCATGAGATGTGTGCTCTTGCCTATGAGCAATTTTTTGTTATGCTCTTTGACTGCTTGAAGGTTGGCCTGCATATCTTAGAAAAAGTCGCAGGCTAGTTCTAGTAGTCTTCAGTTGTTTAAATTATTTTTTCATTTTTTGGAACAGGCTGTCACTTTGTTACTCAAGCTGGAGTACAGTGGCATAATCACAACTTACTGTAGCCTCCATCTTCTGGGCTCAAGTGATCCTCCCACCTCAGCTTCCAAGTATCTGGAACCACAGGCATACATCACCATGCTTGGCTAATTTAAAAAAATTTTTTTGTAGAGATGAAATCTCCCTGTGTTGCCTGGGCTGGTCTCGAATTCCTGGGCTCAAATGATCCTTCCACCTCCATCTCCCAAAGGGCTGATATTACAGGGATGAGCTGCCATACCAGGCCTTTAGTTGTTTTAAGAAAAATGAGTTGCCAGGCGCCATGGCTTATGCCTGTAATCTTAGCACTTTGCCAGGCCAAGGCGGGAGGATCATGAGGTCAGGAGATCAAGACCATCCTAGCTAACGTGATGAAACTCCATCTCTATTAAAAATACAAAAAAATTAGCACGGGCATGGTGGTGCATGCCTGTAGTCCCAGCTACTCAGGATGCTGAGACAGGAGAATCGCTTGAAC